AATTTATTCATCATTGTTTTTCTGATTTTGTTAAATTGTCTACCTGGGGTTTGTTTTTGTTTATTTTCATTTCATTGGGTTTCTTTAAGATGCTTATTTTGAATTATTTGTTAGGCAAATTGTAGATCTCCATTTCTTTGGGATTGGTTACTGGACCTTTATTATTTTTCTTTGTTGGTATCATATTTGCCTGATTCTTCTTTATCCGTATATCCTTGCACTGGTGTCTGTGCATTTAAAGGAGTAAGCACCTTGTCTAGTCTTTATAGACTGATTTCAGCAGGTAAACATTTTCTCCTGCCTATACCCCAAGCCAATGGGATTACCTATAGAATTGCAGTCAGGCTGGGTTGTCGCTAGTTTTGAGGCTGGATCTGTAGCAGGTCTGTTACAAGGAGCTCAACTAGGCAAGGCTGTCTGATTCCTGGTTGAGTGGGACTATCGTTGGTCAAATGTCCATGTCAGTGTCCACCCAGATGGGTCCCTGGGTGGGCAGGATGGACTCTGGGCCATGGCTAAGAGGACACATATAAAGGATGTCTTATTTGGCCATTTTAAGGGCATCACTTTTGTTCATTTTTTTTTTAAATTTTGTTTTATTGCTTAAAATATTACAAAGAGTAGTACATATGTCTCCTTTTTTCCCCCTTCTGTTCATTTTTTGTGGCACCTGGCAATAAGAATCTCTCAAAAGTCATGGGAAGGGTAAATCAATGACTATATTTGAGTTTATGAAGATTATTACAAACAGTGTGCACACCAGCTGTTTTCTATCTCTATGGTGAACATAATTATAAATGATAGTTTAAGTTTGAGAACATGCAATTTAGAAAATAAAGTTTAGACTAGGAAATATACCCTTGCACTATCCTGTTGTGACTATTTTTCAATTACAGTTGACATCCAACATTGTTTTGTGTTAGTTTCAGGTGTATAGCACAGCAGTTAAACATTTATATAATTTGCAATGTGACCCCTCAGGTAATTCTAATACCCACCTGGTACCACTTTTAGTTATTACAATATTGTTGACTATATTCCCTATGCTGTACTTTATATCCCATGACTGTTTTGTAGCCAATTATTTCTTAATTCCTTCACCTGTTTTTCACCCATTCTCCAACCCTTCTCCCTTCTGACATCCATCAATCTGTTTTCTGTATCTATAAGTATGTTTCTTCATTTCATTTGTCCTTTATATTTCACATATAAATTATATTACATGGTATTTGTCTTTATCTGCCTGGCTTATTTCACTTACCATAATGCTCTCTAGGTTCATCCATGCTGTCCGAAAATGATGCCTAGCTAGTTTTGAGCTATTTATAAATTTGAGTTGTCTTTAAGAGATCACAAACCTATTCTTTAAAAAAACTTGACATAATTTTGTTGTTTTTACCTATCATTATAAAAATGTCATTTTTTAAAGTTTCTCCAGTACATGAAGCTCATACAGATTATTCAATATATGTTTTTACAGATATTTTTAAAATATATTTTTTATTTATTTCAGAGAGGAAGGGAGAGGGAGAGAGAGATAGAAACATCAATGATGAGATAGAATCATTGATGGGCTGCTTCCTGCTTGCCCCATATCTGGAATTGAACCCACATCCCAGGCATGTGCCCTGACCAAGAATCAAACTGTGACCTCTTGGTTTATAAGTCAACACTCAACCACTGAGTCACACTGGCCGGGCCAGATATTTTTTTAAATCTAAGAGATGTTACCCAAGATTCATCTTCAGCTGGTAATTGAGAAAAAGGAAGATTCCTTACCCATATGATTTCGAGTCAGAATATATTGGTGAATTTAGTATGGTATTTGTCACGGTTTTGGAATCTGATAAGTTTTAAATTCAGAGTTTGATTTTGGTAGTAAATAAATGCCTAGCCCATCATTGCACTGATGAAGACTCTTGGGAAAGAGAAGAATTGCTATCAATCAAGGGTTTCATTGATTTGAGGATGCTGATGCAGCTGTTTGCAAGGGGCTTCTTAGTCACATTTACTCCCAGGATAATCTGCATGTGAGCAATTTCTTTTTATCTGAGTGTTATTGGCTTAAATGCTATAAATTAATCCATATGACATAAAGATATAGACAACTGACTGAGGCCATAACAGCAATTCCTGAGGTTCATTTAAGCTATTGTAGTTACTGTATATATTACTCTAGGCAATAGTCTATCCCCTCTGTGATGAAAGTGTGTATTTCTGCTATTTTATTGAGAGCAAATACCCTGTCATGTAAGGACCAATTATCATAGAGCTGGAGCTACAGTGTTCATGTTTTGTGGTGTTCTGGTTAATTACCTAACAGCTAACTGTAGCTCTTTGGTGTCTATATATCCTGTCCCAAAAAGAGTTCCTCAAAGTGTGGTCTCTCAATCAGCAATAGCATCACCTGAGAGTTTTTTATAAATGTAAATTCTCAGCACCTATTTTAGATCTACTGAATGAAAAAAACTGTATTTAACAAGCCCTCCAAATTGTGGTCATTTATGCTCAAGTATGAAAACCACTTTTCTAGAGAAGTTTACAGGGAATCTAAGGCCTTCCCTTGAGTCACAATGAGAAATTACATTTCAAGATTATTCGAAAGGAGTCTTGCTAAACTCCAACCCCTCACCTCCTAGCAAATCCTTTCAGAGCCCATCTAGGCATCATGGTGTGTGTACCACCAAAGCCTTCTCTCAAAGGAAATGGCCCAGGCCTTAAGAAAATCTATACACTGGCTATAAGATATAAGCCATGCGATACCCAAATGAAAGGGCATTCATTCATTTAATCATCTGATGTATTTGAGCATCTACTAAGCTCTAGTTACATTATCTGAGTCAAGAATCTTTTGGTCAAAGAAAGAAGATAAGATGTAAGTACAATAATGTAATATATGGGAAAAGAGATCACCCCACACTCAGAGACATCAAACTCAAATTCAAAGGAAACAAATTGCGTATTTAGCTGCTGAATTTGACAATAGTTAGCCATAAATATTATTCAGCTATCATAAACATAATCAGTGGTGAGGTTTGAAAAGATAAATTTTGTGACTCTATGTGGAATGGGCCAGAAGGAGAAGGAAGACCCACTAAAAATAATTATAACAACTGAAAACAAGTACAGCCTGACCTAGGATGAAAGTAGACTCAAAAGGGTTCTTATTAGTGAATGGCTATGAGATTGTTGGTAAATGAAAAGGGATAAGTGGAACATATAGATAAAGTTTGGAGACTAAATAAGATTGTTATGTTATTAAAAGATCAGCCAAAGGACATGTATGCATGCATATAAGCCTAACCAATGGACACAGACAACAGGGGGGTGAGGACATGAGTGGGGGGTGGGAGAGCAATGGGGGGATAAGGACACATATGTAATACCTTAATCAATAAAGAAATTTTAAAAAACTGGAAAAACAGGAGGGGCAATAGGGGGATAAAGACACATATGTAATACCTTAATCAATAACTAAATTAAAAAAATAAAATTAAAGTGAAATAAAAGGTGAAGATGGGAAGCTTGTTATTTTGTGAGCAAGTTGAATGTAGGGTACATAATGAACATTCATTCAAATTAAGGGGCCCAAGTTATAGGTAGAACTAGAGGACTACTGGTAGTTCATGAGAAGAAAACAGAATTGGACATGTAAGGGAGACATGCACACAGAAGTGATTGTTAATATTATGTGAAGAAAGGAGATTTTTTAAGGGAAAGTGGGTTGAAAGAAAAATGAAACAGGATATAGAAAACATCTTGAGAAATTATAGTGTTTATGGGTTGGAAGAGAGTCATCCATGGAAGAGGTAGAGGAACCAGAAACAGTGTCATGTAACCAAAAGTTCCAGCTGGAACTTACCAGTATTGGTGGAGCAATTGTTACATTTCTTCTGAGTCATCAGTGCTCTGTTCTTATTGGTGTTCAGATTGATCTAGTTTTCAAATATTTTTAAGCTTAATAGGGCAAAGCTTAAAAAGGGCAAAGAATGAGGATCCAGTCATTACAAATCTTAGATTTGGGCAAACTTTAACACTTTATAGAACTTTCTGGTAAACTAGAAGAGAACAGCTTCCAAGAAGGAACATAGTATGTGCATGAAATCATTCTACTATCTACAGTCTGGTTTAAGGAGCCCTCCCTCATAATAAAGACAGTAATTAGAACTGAGGTGAATTATGAATTCTGATATCACATCCTGAAAAGGACATTGATGAATGAGAGACTATCCAGAAGATAACTGACTTCTTGTTCTTAGAAACAATAAATGAGAAATCTGGGATGTTTATCTTAAAAACTTGGAGAGAAATTCATTGATGCATGATAGTGTCAACAAATATTTGAAGGATTCTTATGTAAAAAGGGGGAAGAATGAGGAAAGGAACAGATTTTAGAACGAAGTTTTATTCATTTACATTGTAATTTTTTATTCTTATTTTCAAACTGATTAACATGATGAGAAAATAATTTGACAGCATATTACATGTAAAATACAGTCCCAAAATCCAAGAACCAACTTCTGGTAAAAATTAAATAATCCACTGTCAAGCAACTCGCAGGTTTTTTTTTTTCTCTCTCTCTCTCTCTCTTTTTCAACAGGGTAAAATGACTAAAGGCGGGATTAATTGAATGTACCACTATTTAGAATAAGCACACGCTATCCAAATACGTGGCTTTTTATAAGCAGTCAGGATTCTCTATGATGTGTGCATCAAAAATGCTAGAAGTTAACATATTATTATTCTTTTCATTGATTTTTCTCCTACTGCCCTCTCAACGGCAACAACAAAATGAAAACATGATCCCTTACACCTCCAAATTAGTTCCAGAATAGTTGGCATTATTGAATTGTTATTGAAAACTAACGAAGGCTTCTTTCATTCATCCCCCGGAAGTGAAACATTTGGAGATGTTTGTGAAAAGAGGTGAATGTTTTCATATCCTATTATTTCTTTTGTAAAACAGTGACTTCAACTTTACCCTGTAATGTTTTTGACAGACAATAAAGATTATGACGCATACTTGTCCTACACCAAAGTGGATCCTGACCAGTGGAATCAAGAGACGGGGGAAGAAGAGCGCTTCGCTCTTGAAATCCTACCTGACATGCTTGAGAAGCACTATGGATATAAGTTGTTTATACCAGACAGAGATTTAATTCCAACTGGAAGTAAGTGCATGTTTTCATTCGCATCTTCTTGTGTCTATCTGTGTAGTCATCATTTTTAGATAGAACTTGACCTTTTGGTTCTTCATTTCAAAAACTGTATGTGTCAGATTGTTAAGAAAGAAATGTTGTTATGTGTTCATCTGAAACTTAATTGTGACACCTCTGAAGTGGTACTTCCATCATTTTATAAAGCATCTCATTTTGATGAGCCCTAACATTTAAATAAGCCAAATGAGAGATTTATGCCTGGAAAAATATTTCTAGCATTAAAAGAAGCAAAGCCCCTACTCTATTCAAAGTGATCATTGGCTATTTTCATCTCCTCAAGATGTTACCCAACAAACACCAATTCTCATTTAATGTGTGAAAGAGAATCTTCCAGGGCTTTCTGGACCACATTTTGGATTTACTCATTCTGATCACTCTTTTCTCTTTTGTAGCATACATTGAAGATGTAGCAAGATGTGTAGATCAAAGCAAGCGGCTGATTATTGTCATGACCCCAAATTACGTAGTCAGAAGGGGCTGGAGCATCTTTGAGCTGGAGACCAGACTTCGAAACATGCTTGTGACTGGAGAAATTAAAGTGATACTAATTGAATGCAGTGAACTGCGAGGAATTATGAACTACCAGGAGGTGGAGGCCCTCAAGCACACCATCAAGCTCCTGACGGTTATTAAGTGGCATGGACCAAAATGCAACAAGTTGAACTCTAAGTTCTGGAAACGTTTACAATATGAAATGCCTTTTAAGAGGATAGAACCCATTACACACGAGCAGGCTTTAGATGTTAGCGAGCAGGGGCCTTTCGGGGAGCTGCAGACTGTCTCGGCCATTTCCATGGCTGCAGCCACCTCCACAGCTCTAGCCACTGCCCATCCAGATCTCCGTTCCAATTTTCACAACACGTACCATTCACAAATGCGCCAGAAACACTACTACCGAAGCTATGAGTATGATGTACCTCCTACTGGCACCCTGCCTCTTACCTCCATAGGAAATCAGCATACCTATTGCAACATCCCTATGACACTCATCAATGGGCAGCGGCCACAGACAAAATCCAGCAGGGAGCAGAATCCAGACGAGGCCCACACAAACAGTGCTATCCTGCCGCTGTTGCCAAGGGAGACCAGTATATCCAGTGTGATTTGGTGACAGAAAAGCAAGGGACATCCTGTCCCTGGGAGCTTGAGTAGAGTCTGCAGTCCAGTGCCTGGAACTAAATCCTCGACTGCTGCTGTTAAAAACATGCATTACAATCTCTAGAACACGAGGAAAAACAGGGTCTTGTACATATGATTTTTGCAGTTTCTTTGTAGCATCGATGTCTTGTTGTTTTACCACGTCTCTTACTCATTACATTTTTGACTTTGTTTTATATGTCACTGGAATTTGTAAATTTACATTTTTTTAAAGAAGAGACTTATGTGTAGATAGAAAACCCTTTTTTGCTTCATGAGTTTAGTTTTAGAAGGAGTTTCATTTCCTTTTCTTGATTTTGTTTTGCTTTTAACATTTCCTTGGGGTGCTTGGACAAATCCATCTGATGGGACAAGGAGCACCGGATCCTCTCTTGGGTTCTACCTAGGATCAGCAGGGCCACGCGGGCCTTCAGAGAGCAGTGCACCGACTGCCAGCATTGCCATTTGAGGGGAGAAAAACAAAGAAGAGAACACTTGCTCATAGGATGGCCCCGCCAATCAGAGCCCTCAATCTTTTCCTTGTCCCACCTCATTTCCCACCTCTGCCCTTCTAATGGCGGCATGATGTGTAAATTCTGAGGAAGGGTGGGGGTGGGTCTAACTGTCTTAACATTTAATTCACTGCTGGTCAGAATACACTCCAGACCCAAAAGTGTGCTAGTCACTTAACAGTGACCACTACAGCGTGCTAAGAAGAGAAGATCAAGGGCATGAAAATGGGGGAAAGAGTGTTGTTTCCGTTTTTTAAATGAGTTGATGTACCCTTATATAAATATATAAATATATATAAATATACAACAAAACAAACAAAAAACAAAAACAAAAAACAAAAAAACAAAAAACATAAAAAAAGTAAGCCCTATATTTGATCACTTCCTGGAAAGGCATGAATGTGTTTGTGGCTGTTTTTGTTTGATATTCTACTTCCTCTTTTCCCTCTGTATTTTTTTCTGCAAATGAGATTATGTGCAAATGCCTGGCAAGTTAACTCAAAGGGGTGAATCAAACAGAAGTCAAAATGAAATTTACATTGAAGGCTTCCAAACCAAAGGGAAGAACAGGATGTGTCATCAAATATGTTTTGTCACCTTGTATTATACAAAATGTTATTTTCTAAAGAGTCAGAACAAATCTGTGAAACTTATTATGGGGTTCTCTTGTATTAAATGTTAATTCACTGTATTTAATTTTCAATGCTACATACAGAATCCAGTGTTTGGTTTCAGTTTGTGAACATAAGTAACACTTATTAATATCCAAGTGTTTAAATAAGAACTCAGGAGGTCAAATATATGAATACCTAGAGAAATCAGTATTTTCAAAATAAACATTATTTACACAAAATGGTTTTTAAATTAGGTAAGAACGTGTTTAAAATAATTTTATTGTATAAAAATTAGTTTCATTTTAACTGTATAATTCTATCTTTCAGAAACAGAAAGCTGATGCTCCCAGGAAATCCCTCCCTACTGTGTAGCTTTATGTTTGAAATCAGTAACATAAGCAGCTAATATATATTTATGTTGAAGATAATGCAAAATCTGTCATACCGAAACTTGCAGAGGGCAGAATTGTTAAAGGGAAATATTACCTAAGTAGCTTTTAGTTTAAAAAAAAATCAATGTGATGAAAATACTGATAATAGAACTTTTACATTACTTTAGTGATCCATTGTAGGAACTTCCATTCTAGTCATTGTCTGTGGGCTGGTGTAGTGACTATTGTATGTTTGGTTTGTTCCTACCACCATATAATAAGAAAACAAGTCTACAGTTTTGGTCACTATTCTAACGTGTGAGTTGGCCACAAAAAAAAGTGTAAACTTCTATATAATTCATCTGGGAGGGTAAATTTGAATTTCAAATGTACAAGAGATAAGTATAAGAATTTTGTAACAATATAAAGGCCTCAGTAAGCCTTGGGATGTGCATTGATTTTTATTTGCTTAAAACAATGTTTATTTCTCTGACAACTCACCTCGGTTCTTCTCTAGAATGTGCTCTTTATTCCCATGTTCCCTTTGGATCTGTGTCACATTTTCAGAACTGAAGCTTCAAGGACACAAACTTTAAGGTCAGCTCTGCACATTGGGTTATTTTCAGAATCCAAGAAAGCCATTGTTTACTTGTACTATGGACACCTGTCAAAGACTGGTGGCAGTGCACCTCATTGGACTGGATTCCAGACTCCCCCAGTGCTCAGAAAACTGTAAACATGGCAATGGCCTGGTCTATGTATTTTTCATTTTTTATTTTTTTAAGTGCACGATGGAAGTGTGGAATAAATGTAGAGGAAGTAATCACACCACAGTCATATTTTAGGCATCCATAGGCGTTAATTTAGCTGCCTTCGGAGTACATTTTTTTGTTCTATTTTTAGTGTAGATTTAAGCACTTTGAATAGCATGATTCAGGGATTGATGGGTAATATTTGATATTCTCACAACGTAAGAAACATTTTTCCTCTAATGCTTTGTCATATTTTTTAAAAAATGAAATAAATGGAGAAGCTATCTATGGCTTTAGAAACATTCCTCCCAAGTATTCCTCTATCAGCTCTATGTGAGAACAAATGAAGGAAACTGTCATGTGTTCACGTGCTGTGTATTTAACAAAATTTATATTAGAACTCACAATAAAAACAGAAAAAAATGTATTTTCCCTAGTGCTTAGGTTTCATCCTTCTCTTTTTTCTGTGGGGGCTGTGGGAGATAAGCATATTCTATTTTTAAAAACACATTCGAAAGTGTGAATATGTTAGCCAAGCCGAGGAACAGAATGGTCTTGTGGACTTGGACATGTGTGATATTTGGTATTGCCTGTTTTTCAGCCATCACTGCTCAGGCTCCAAGTGACACATTATGGATTCAAGAGTTCATCTGGTTCTTTAATGTAACCTCTACTTGCTGCCTATGAGTGTCCTACCCTTTATACTGGTGCTCAAATCTTTGATTATTTAATTTGTAATTCATTCTTTAGGTTTCCTATAGGCAGAGAAAAAAAACTGTATCTCATGCAGCCAACTGATATAAGTTTAGATTTTTCTATGAAATAAATCTAAGACACAATGAGTTAAGAGACCTGAACCTACTATATTTCTATAGCAAAACACCCAATCAACCATTTTGTGTTTATTACTTTCTCTCTAATATATGTATTTGAACCCTATGACTTAATCTTAAATATTTAGATACTGGTTTCTTCTTTATTTCTTTATTATTTAGCATTTTATAATGAGAAAATATTAACAGAGAGCCAACCCCTAAACTCTAAGTAAGTTTTGTTTACCCTAGAATAGTCATTAACTTTGACAGGTACCATTAGTGTAAATTAAGATCACCATTTCTAGGAAAACATTAATTCATACATTTGTAAATTATTTTCTGATTCTGGAATGATACCCTAGTTCTTTTTCTAAGAAGTATTTTTTACCTTGTGCTTAATTTTTTTCCTTAAATTTAGTTTAAGCTTATATAATTAGTCCCAGAAGAAAGCTTATTGAAATTCAAGGGAAACTATTGATATTATACAAGTGAAATAACTGAATGGAACTAAGGTAATGCACAGACACATAAAAGGAAAATCCTTGTCTCTAATCTGAACTTGCTTGGTCATTATTGCCATTATTGTCATAATTGGTTAAGAGAGGTGAAATATTAAATGGGTTAGAAATCCCACCTACAGACACATATTCCCCATCACTGAAGAATTTTTTTACAATATATAGAGTTATTTCAAAAATGAATAATGCAACTGAGTTCCCTGAAAGAGAAGCTTATCAGTGGAAGCAGAGCTGTTCCTTGCCCTATCACAAACCCTTTCCACCTTATTGTTCTGAGCAAAGAAAATAACCAATCAAATTTTGATTATCCTTAATAATAGACCTTAATCTTGGGATCAGGGACCAGTTGAGTCTATAAAAAAGAATAAAGGAAATAATGAAGTCCTTGAAATTCCAGACAAAATTGTGAATACGTGCAAAATTATGTTTTCCTGGATGTCAGAGTCAAAGACATCCATCATCTAAAAGCAATTGATGTTTGGATTTGGGCCATATTCTCAGACTATCATTAAGATAAACCACATATCTTGCAAGCTCTGTTATGGGTACTATTCCTCACCTTCATTCATAAAAATTCACTGGATGCTTATTGTTCTTTTAACAAACAAAGGCAGTTCCTCGTCCAATATGACCCGACCTATGGGCAATTTGTGAGGATAAACTTGTATGATGACAAGCAATTCATGCCCAGATAATTGAGAACTGACTTACTATTACTATGATAGTTTACTCATTTCTTAAGTTACTCAAAAGATAATTTGGGGAGAATGTGAAATCATGTAATTTGGCATGGTGCCTTATTTCATTAAACTTCTTTATGATTTGGGTTCAATCATGTTTCTTACACAAAAGTAAAAATGAATCCAGTACAGGGGTTGAAGAAACAACCATTTGACATGCTTTTCCAAAGGGATTCAGTTTTCTTATGCCAAGATTTAGAATTGGTGGTATACTTGGTTTTCAGCAATTGGGCTTTTACCAGGTTCAGGATATCTGATATGACTTTGGGGCAGTATAAATTTTGAGAATAAACTGAATGAAGTGGTTATTTAAACTTTTCCTTTTTATTCATGATTGACAGCAAGGTGACATTTTGTGCTATGTTGATAATTAAGATACAAGGAGCTGTCAGAACTAAATTTGAGTAAAGAGAAGGATGATGATGAGTTAATCCTAATCCTAAACCTGCATGTTTTGTCATTAAACTTCAGTCACATGCATAGAAAATGCCCAGACTAAAAAGAAGGAACTCAGCTCAAATCTTCCATTGAGTATTATTTCTTCCTTCCAGGCTTAGAATACAAAACATATTCCCATTACAACATTACAGACACATAAGATATCTAAAAGAAAATTTTCCTTCTGACTCTTAGTAAATGTCTCTCTGAATAGTCTGTGAATCCACTGACAAACTCGTTTCTGAATTGTTCATAAAAGTAAAATAAGGCACTATTGTTTTTCTACCATTCACTATGTTCATTGATGCATTCCCTAGGGCCCACAGCCTGAAAGTATTCTCTTTCTAACAAAGGCAATCATTGTCAGTCATTGCATTGTATCCCCCCCCCCCCCCC